TCCCTAGTCCCTATGGGCAGGGCTGTCTGGAGCCTATAAATAAATAAATAAATTATTATTATTATTATACAGTATTTATATAGCGCCAAAGGGTTTGCTCAGCGCTGTACAATAGCAAGGGGGACAGAACATGAGACAAAACAGTAACAGTACAATACACCAGGGGTTCGAGGGCCCTGCTCTTTTGAGCTCACAATCTAATATGTGAAGAAACACTGAATATTCTGTTGTTAGCCATACTAACCAGACCTGAGTAAAAGGAAAATATAGTATACTATATTTTGAGACATTGTTGGTGGACTTTAACCACCTCCCACCCACTGTATTGGGGAATGAGAGACGGGCGGGAGCTCTCTTGTTCTGGGAGGACGTTAAATGTCATCCTCCTACTCTAGCTGCACATGAGCTCCTCTGGGGGTGTGCTGCATGGCGATTGGTGGTGTGCAGTGTCTCTAGGACACAGCAGATCACTGATCATGGTACAGAGCCGATGATGTATGATGTCCATTTCCTCAGAGCTTTGACTAGCTCTGAGGATAGTGACTCGTCCCCGAAACGCGTCAGAGGGCTGACCACACTGACAGTCGGACACCGTGCCATTGTTATGGCAATCCTCACCTTCTTACAAAGCTTTACATGTTATATTTGTGAGTATGTTTTTGTCATTTTTACTTTTAAATAAACCTTGGATAATGCACTAGGGGTTTGCGCCTCCTGTTTGCTCTTTTCCAGTTGTTGATTTCCCTATCTGAGGAGGGCTGCATCTCCAAAACACTATCCATAGGCCACTTTGGTCCTGGTTTTCCTGGCCTTCTTTTGGCAATTTATTCCTGGAGCGCTGGAGAATTTTGACTCTGATATCTGTCAAGAGAAATATCTGTAAAGTTAGCCTTACACACATACCGTAGGTTTTTCTGTCATCAAAGCTGTTTATATTCCATGCCAACTGTTGTATTCAGATAACCACAGCCCCCGAGGTTGGCAAAATAGTCAAACAGTGAATGCATCTGATAGGATACAGTCACTGTTTTCCCAACAATTTTCCTACCCATCTCCTTTGATTTTTCATTCAATGTTTGTATAGCCAGGTGATGCCAACAGAGCAATCCACGGCTCGTATTCTGGCTGATTTGTCAGGAACAGGCTGAACATTGAGCTGTGTATGGAAAGCTTAAGGTCTTGTTCACTATTTGTCAGCATTTCTCAACACAGTGAAATACATAGACAAGCCAATTAGCCTTATGTCCCATTGTTTCAGTTCACACCAATGCACTGCATTGGTGTGTACTGAACAAAAGTAGGACAGGTTGCATTTTTACAAAGTACAGTGCATTATAAAACACTACATCGTATACATTGTAATGGTCTGTGGTATGTCATTTTTTTTGACATATCAATAAAGTTACAAAAAGATAAATATTGGCAGAGTCAGATCTTACACAATTAACTGTAGAGGATAGTCTCTTACTGGAAAACCCCATTACAGAAATGGGATCGGGTCCTTAAAAATATAAAACCACATAAGGCCTCTAAGTCAGACTACTTTATTCTGGCATATTACAAGGCATTTTCTGGATTGCTTGCTCATCCATTCACTCAGGGCTGCAATTCTATCTTAGGTGGTGATCCCTTGCCAAAGGATATTCGCAGCTACTATCGCTGTACTCCCCATTGACAGCAAGAACCTCACACAGTGCTGTAACTTTTGCCCCATTTTGCTATTGAATCTCAACCTAAAACTCCTCACTAAAATCTTAGAAAGATTACTACCATTAATCCCAAAGATTGACCACCAAGACCAGGTTGGCTTTGTCCTGATGCGGGAAGCAAAAGACAACCCTAGCAGAGCCATCAATGCAATCCATTGGGCACATTCTAATGCTGTGCCTACAATGTTACTTTAGTCCAGGGGTCCTCAAACTTTTTATACAGGGGGCCAGTTCACACTGTTGGGGGGGGGGCCGGACTATAGTTTGAAGAAAATATGAACAAATTCCTATGCACATATCTTATTTGTAGTGTAAAAAAACCAGGAAAAAACAATACAATATTTAAAATGCACTGTACACTAACGCACTGGACACCGCAATGCACTGTACACTGTAATGCACTGGACACCGCAATGCACTGTACACTAACAAACTGGACACCTCAATGCACTGTACACTGTAACGCACTGGACACCACAATACACTGTACACTGTAACGCACTGGACACCGCAATACACTGTATACTGTAACTCACTGGACACCGCAATACACTATACTGTAACGCACTGGACACCACAATGCACTGTACACTGTAACGCACTGGACACAGCAATGCACTGTGCACTGTAACGCACTGGACACCGCAATACACTGTATACTGTAACGCACTGGACACCGCAATGCACTGTACACTAACGAACTGGACACCGCAATGCACTGTACACTGTAATGCACTGGACACCGCAATGTACTGTACACTGTAACGCACTGGACACCAAATTGCACTGTACTCTGTAATGCACTGGACACCAAAATGCACTGTACACTAACACACTGGACACCGCAATGCATTGTACACTGTAACTCACTGGACACCACAATGCACTGTACTCTGTAATGCACTGGACACTGCAATGCATTGAAGACAGTAACGCACTGGACACCACAATGCATTGTACACTAACGCACTGGACACCGTACCTGGTGCCTGGTGTACTCTCCTCCTCTCCTGTTGCTCCTCTGGCTGCAGCAGGTGAAATCAGGGACTTCCAGCCTGCCGCTTGCTGAGTCCTCGCGGCCAGGGACCCAGTGATCCCCCTAGCTATTTGCTGGTCCGTTTTTTTTTCCCGGCTGGCCCAGTGGGCCTGATAAATGGCTTTGGCGGGCCGTATCCAGTAGTTTGAGGACCCCTGCTTTAGACCAATGCCAAAAAGGCATTCAAAAACACATTGTTTGAGTATATATGTCCTTGGTACTGGACTTCTTGGGGGTGGGAGACAACTTCTGCAAATGGACAGTGCCAATGTACTCATGCCCAATGGCGACAGTTAGGGTCAATGGGACACATTCAGCCGCATGTGATACTGTATGAGACAGAGCTGCACTCTTTCTCCACTCATTTTTATCTTGAATTTGGATCCACTCTTCTGCAGGATTCAACAAAACCCCAATATTAAAGGCATATCAGCACAACTGGGTGCACATTTAACCCCTATGTTTCCGAAGTATTACAAATGCTCCTTATTGCTGCATTTATTAAATGCAACAAAGGCTTGCATGCTTTGCGTTGGAAGCAGTCCACAGTGCCATCTATCTGCCTCTGGTTCCCAAGGTCAACAAGATGTATCAAATGGAATAATTGTTGGTTGCAGTTAACAATATGGAAGAATGTTGTTGGTTTTAGTGGATAGAGTTCACGTGTACCCCCGAGTATAGAGACCTAATGGGCTCCCAGGCTTAAGGCTCACTCTGTTTCCATCTACCTTCTTAGGTATCTGAGACTAGATCTTCCCATGCAGTATCTGGATAGCAAACAGTTCCTTATTCATGACTTCACCTTTCCTTCCTCTCTTTCTTCCTTGTGTTCCTCCCCCCCCCTTTTGTCTGTTTTATTTTTTTGGCTGGGCTGAGTATTGGGCAAACCTGGTTATATTCTCATAAGCACAGGAATGTTCCCCCTAGGTTAGCAGGTCGTTCAGGCGAGCACCTCAGGAGAAGTTGGCAGTCTCAGTATGTCACTCAGTAATGCAATTTATTTTTTTGTTTACAAACTATTTTATTTGTAAGATCAAGTTCAAGTACAATCAAACAGACACATGTACAAAAATGTCTTAAGGTACCGAATACAGAGAAGTCAGAGTGAAACAACGTCACTTAGATATCGAGAAATATCCGCTTAAAGGACAAAGATATAGCAAAGGCTCAATACATAGATATTGATTGACTCTAGTACAGATTACAATTATAGTACATAGACCACTAATAAGGGTTAGATGATATAAAGAGAGATTTTGAAACAATTATACTAATAAATATATAAAGTTATGGTGTATCCCAACTGGTCCATTTTTCTTTAAATATGTGTGAATTATCATATAGTATATGGTGTATGTATTCATATAATTTAATTGATTCCATCCTTGCAAGCACCTGTGACCATTGGACAGAAGGGGAGCGCCAGTTATATGCACTTATCCATTGTATGGAGCAAAAGAGTGAATGTATTAATCTAGCACAAGGAATGGGTATATCTGGTATTGAGACAAATAATAGGCATATTTGCGAAGTGAAAGAAATTGTCTTGCCTGCTATTTGAGATATTTTGGCTGTAGCTTGTAACCACAATGATCGCAGGAACTTGCAATCCCAGAATATATGAACCAAGGTTCCCTGTTCTGAACACCCCCTGAAGCAACAAGGGGAAACCAGAGGATAAAAAGAATGTATCTTAGAAGGGGTCATATACCATCTAGTATGTACCTTAAGAACTCAGTATACAATTTAGATGTGTTCTTAGTTGTATGACATAAAGTTTAGATTGATAGCAGGATTGGAGGCACTACCGATTTAAGACAAGATATGCTGTTTTGTATTTATTATCCTTGTAATGCTTGCTATGCACCCTCCTAATGAGAGTGCTGCGTATATATGTACTTTTAAAAATTCAAAATAAAGAATTGAGCAAATACGGCTGCCCTATATACGAATATAACTACAGCGCTGAGCAAACTTTTTGGCGCTATATAAATACTGTATAATAATAATAATAACTACAATCTACACATAGAAATAAGATTGTTAAAACATTACCAAACATGGATAATATTGTCTGCATCAAGCTGATTTTGTTACATGTATATCTACAACTGTTTAAAAGACTACATTCCCTTTAGGAAATATGTATGGGTGAAGTGCCACACTCCATGTGTGCTGTCCTTGTCACGGCCAGGCTGTGGATTCCTGTCTTGATATTTAAGACCTCAGGATCACATGGTCTCAGCAGCATTTTATTAGATACAACTGGACAAGCTTTCACAGGGTTATGGGCTGCTGAAGCTGCTGCACCGAGGAACCAGCATTTTGGTTTATTGCAGTTTTTGGGTAGTGCAAGGAACTTTTATTCAAGCAAAATGTCTGACAGAAGCCCCTTTGAGACTGACATGTTCACCCTTACCCGGTATGTCATGGAAAAGGGACGACAGGCCAAGGGTACAGGGGAGCTGACACAACTGCTAAACTCCATGCTGACTGCGATAAAGGCCATTTCATCTGCTGTGAGGAAGGCTGGAATTGCACACATGTAAGTCTGCTTGTTTATAATTTATTTCATACGGGAAAGATTAACATGCAATGTGTACTGTGTAATAATCTGAAAATCATTCACTGAAATCAGCTTGGTTTCTATAGGAAGTATGTAGCACAAAATTTGTTTTAAAGGCTAAATTCACATTGGGAATGTGTTACATGTTCCACTCATATTTAGGGTGGAACATGTTACATGTTCTAACTCCTACCCCCTCTCCCACCCTATCCCCCATTCCTGTGACAGTGGGTCAGGGCTCTTTCCCCTGCGCCCACTGTCATTTTAAAAAAAATGCAGATGTGCAGAACTCCACCCTGTGAAAGAATAAATTACAAATACCATCAACCACTGTTGTAGACGGGCTTATAGTTTCAATGAGCTGTGAGGGCAAAAGCCCATACAGTGGTAGAGGCTGAAAGCCGGAGGACATGTCTGCAGGAGACCACCCATGATCTACTGATCGTGGGTGCAATGCTTTCCAGCTCCTGCAGGAAAAAATAATAAATGCACTCTTTGTGGCAAAAAATATATGCATTTATTATTTTTTCTAAGAAAGTGAAATTATCCTTTAATTCTTGCTGCAATTTATCTTGAACCAAATTTTGTCATTGCCCAACAAAATTCTAGAAGTGTTGGGTCTTATACAGCACAGCGTTGGAGAGACTAACGGAAACAGGTTTGCTACAGTTATTCAAATGTATACTTTTATACTGTCAGGGCAGTTACTAAATAAAAGACAGAAGCTGACTTGTTGACATGGCTGACACATTTGCTCTAAGCACATTTATTTATTTATTACAGGTACTTATATAGCACTATCAATTTACATAGCACTTCACATATACTGTACATACATATACATTGTACATTCATATCAGTCCCTAACCCTCAAGGAGCGTACAATCTAAGGTCCCTAACTCACATTCATACACTGCTCAAAAAAATTAAAGAAACACTTTGAAAACACATCAGATCTCAATGGGGAAAAATATTATGCTGGATATCTATACTGATATAAACAAGGTAATGTGTTAGGAACATAAGGATGCCCCATTGTTTGATGGAAATGAAAATTATCAACCTACAGGGGACTGAATTCAAAGACACCCCGAAAATCAAACTAAAAAAATGATGCAGCAGGCTGGTCCATTTTGCTGAACTTTCATTACAGCAACTCAAAATGATACTCAGTAGCTTCAATGGCCCCCACCTGCTTGTATGCATGCCTGACAATGTCGGGGAATGCTCCTAATGAGGCGACGGATGGTGTCCTGGGGTATTTCCTCTCAGAACTGCATCAGGGCATCACTGAGCTCCTGGATAGTCTGAGGTGTCGGATGGACTGAAACATGATATCCCAGAGGAGTTCTATTGGATTTAGGTTAGGCAAGTGTCCATTCAATTATATCAATTCCTTCATCCTCCGGGAACTGCCTGCATACTCTAGCCACATGAGGTCGGGTATTGTCGTGCACCAGGAGGAACCCAGGACCCACTGCGGGGTCTGACAATGGGTCCAAGGATTTCATCCCGATACCTAATGGCAGTCAGGGTGCCATTGTCTAGCCTGTAGAGGTCCATGCTTCCTTCCATGGATATGCTTCCCCAGACCATCACTGACCCACCACCAAAACGGTCATGCTGAATGATGTTAGAGGCAGCATAACATTCTCCATGGCTTCTCCAGACCCTTTCACGTCTGTTGCGTGTGCTCAGGGTAAACCTGCTCTCATCTGTGAAAAGCACAGGGCGCCAGTGGTGTTCAATAGCAAATGCCAATCAAGCTCTATGGTGCCAAGCAGTGAGCACAGGGTCCACTAGAGGACGTTGGGCCCTCAGACCACCCTAATGAAGTCTGTTTCTGATTGTTTGGTCAGAGACATTCACACCAGTGGCCTGCTTGAGGTCATTTTGTAGGGCTCTGGCAGTGCTCATCCTGTTCCTCCTTGCACAAAGCAGCAGATACCAGTCCTGCTGATGGGTTAAGGACCTTCTACAGTCCTGTCTAGCTCTCCTAGATTAACTGCCTGTCTCCTGGAATCACATCCATGCTCTTGAGACTATACTGGGAGACACAGCAAACCTTCTGGCAATGGTATTCATTGATGTGTTACCTGGAGGAGTTGGACTGCCTGTGCAACCTCTGTAGGGTCCAGGTATTGCCTCATGTTACCAGTAGTGACACTGACCCTAGCCAAATGCAAAACTAGTGAAAAACAGTCAGAAAAGATGAGTAGGGAAAAAAATGTCAGTGGCCTCCACCTGTAAAATCATTCCTGTTTTGTGGGTCATCTCATTGTTGCCCATCTAGTGCACCTGTTGTTATTTTCAATAACACCAAAGCAGCTGAAACTGATTAACAACCCACTCTGCTACTTAGCTGACCAGATCAATATCCCAGGAGTTTAACTGACTTGATGCTATACTCTGATTAAAAAGGGTTCCTTTTGTTGGTTATGTGTTATAGAAGACACTGGTAGTGATGAGGCAGAACTATGACTTTACTTGTGTGGCTTAAGTTGCAAACATACAGAGCACATTTCAACAGACATATTACTTCCTGAAGAGAGATGATAGAGAAGAGGAAAGAACCAACAAGTTTTCCGATATGCACAACTGATAACCTTAGTGTACAGTGCCATCTACTGGTCAAGTGATATTAACACACAATACTATATAGTACATTATAGTACATGCTGTTGCATTCCCAACACCTTTACCCTAGGTTCACACCTAAGCGTTTTCTGAGGCATTTTGCAGAAATGCAGTACAGTCCATTTTTACATGATTTCCTATGGGACATGTTCACATTTGTGTGATTTCACCCAGTGTGTTTTTTGGAAAGGATCAGGGACTTTTTTAAATGCAAAAAGTTGCGTTTATGGTTCTATAGGCTTCAATGGAAATGCTGTAGAAAAGCATGCATTGCGTTTTTGCTGCATTTTTTATGTGTAAATCTGCCTAGCAACAAGAAATTTTAAAAAATAATGAAAAAAAAACCCCCTGCAAAACGCATAAAAAGAAACCTGCATAGGTGTGAACCTAGCCTTAATTTTTTTGAGCAGTTTACATACACATACTAGAGCCAATTAACCTACCAGCATGTCTTTTGAGTGTGGGAGGAAACTAATGTAGGCACAGGGAGAACATGAAAATTCCAGGCAGGTAGTGCCATGGTTGGGATTCAAACCAACAACCCTAGTGCTGCCAGGCAGAAGGGCCAACCATTTAGCCACTGTACTGCCCATATTTACATTTACGCCACAATAACAATTAGGCTAACGTGGAAAGTAAAGCTGGCCATATATAGATGGAAATTTGGACAGTTCAGCAGGAACCAACTGGGTTTCAATCATGTGTGACCATTCCTGGGACATGATGGAAAACTTATGTTGATCAGGGGCTGCAGCAACTGATCAGTGAATTCTTTCAGCATCGGGTCCCTCTGTCAAAATACAATCTCCTGTTTGGTCTGCTTGAGGTAGAAGTGGTAGGGGGTTTCTCCATCCACCTGCCTGGTAGCAAGAAAAAAAAACTAATTGTCTATGGTCAGCCTAACACATACTGGAGGAAGTCTAAGGAAGCAAGATTTTATTGAGAGACAGCCTGTCCATTGCTTTTTTCCCCAAATGTCTTTCTTTAAGGTGATCCTTCACTCATACAAAACACTTAATTACGTTTTTTAAAGCCCTAAGCTCTTTGCCATCTGCCTTATCTGAGCCAGGAATGAATGATGTCTCCTCTGCTTCTGAAGCCTCCTGGGATATGCACATTGCCTATCTCAGGTGGCATGAGCCAGAACACAGCTGCTAGAGGAGGGTGAGACTGGCTGAACCAGGCAGAAACAGCAGGCTCCTGATGGGGTCAGAAACAAAGGTGACAGCATGTGGCCCAATGTGCAGCAACAGATCGGCAGGACAATACTGGATTCACTGGATACATGAGTATGTTTTCTGAGGACAACCTAGCTAACAAGGTAAAAGCAAAAAATGTATGGGGAAATGAAGTTCCTCTTGAACCACTTTTCTTCCACAGTTTTTTTTCCCACATATTAAAATGCACATTTTCATCCTAAAGATTAGTTAAACCCACAAAACAGTATGTATATTCTGAAGGCAAGACACTGGAGAATAAAATGGTAGTTCCACTTTTTAATGTCACACGACACTAGCACATATACTTTTCGAAAAAGATTTTAAGTTAATTTTAGGGAACACATCCACATTATATTACCCAGTTTTTGGGCAACATATAAAAGACGTGGTTGCAAAGAGATACCCAACATGTCAAGCCTCAAAACTGTACACGCATGTGAAACTGTGACAAACTTTAGTAACTTTGGTACCCCAAAATTGTCCATTGTACTACTAAACGCCTTTACAGGTTATCTGTTTTAGCGTTCACTGTCAATGATAAATTTAGAGTTATTGCTCTCACACACCGATGGCGGCAGCCATATGTACCATACAGTATGCAGCACAATAATCATTTCCCTATGTAGGTGCTCCTGCTGCAGACATTAATGTTCTTATGAGTATTTACATAAGGATAGGGTTTAAAAAAAAAAGTGTTTTTTTTTTAATTTGTTACTTTATTTAATTATATTTTATTGCTATCACATAGGGGGCCAATAACCCTTTTAGAAACAGCCTACTGTAGTATCGATTCTTTTTACTGGGATATTAAGGGTCCATTAGACCCCTGATGCCTCCCCTGCCCTCCACTGAAGCTAATGAAGCACAGAACTCTTACACAGGTCTTATGTCTTCCATCTTCACATAACAGAGCTGGGGGCTAGAAAGTGGCCACTCGGGCACCTAGTACTTGGGAGGTATAGAGAGAATCACATGCTCTCCCATTTCATATGGTTCTCATGGACTGAGAAGCAGAGAACACAGGCTATAAGTGAACCTGTTGCTTTGCGTTTAATGTCAAGTAATTTTATACAGGTATGCTCTGTGGTTCAAGTTGCACATTAACATGCATTGCATTAAGGC